TGAGGGTGTATAATCTAAAATATGAAGAAGAAAACAATTTTCTGTTTAAAACTTACTGTATTTATATGTTGTTTTATCATTTCCATGCTAATACGTGACGGTGTATAATCTAAAATATGAAGAAGAAAACAATTTTCTGTTTAAAACTTACTGTATTTATATGTTGTTTTATCCTTTCCATGCTAATAATTAGCGTTCCCACATACGGGGAATACACTGACAAGCACAGATGGACATAGGTAAAAGGACATACATGTAGACTTGGACTATACGGTGTACGGGGTGATTATGTAGTGTTGACAGGGCCGTTTCGTCAGGATGCGCTACAGTCACGTACGCTTGTCGCAGGCAGATTCCCCCAGGAAATAGCACCACTCTCTTCTCGACACACTAATGGGGTTGTCGGTCTTGTAGCCGAGCAATTTGATTAGGCACATGAAACAGAAAGGCATAAATATCATTATGGGCGGAGCCCCACCTGATGGCTGACTAGCAAATTAGATTTTAACCGGTCATATTTCTTTAATTAGAGCGAAATCAGCTGCTGAAATGTTGCCATCACAGCAGAAGGATGGCGATGCATTTCCGCCTTTCATTATAAAGTGGTGTAATAACCGAAACGTTAGGAACTCGCTTTAAGTGCCGTAACTAACAAAGTGATCGCTTTACTGTGTTCAACATTCCATCTGCACAAAATTAGCAATATTTCCTTTATATACTCGGCGTTGTTAGAACCTCTGCCTTGTAGTTTTTATCCTTATCTGAATATGCTTTAAGACGTGTATAGTGATAACATGGGTAGAAGAGCATCGAACGATGGTTGCGACGCGTCTAGTTTATAAGTGGAAAAGAACGACTTTGAACGCTTTGTATCTGCTTACAAATGAATAAATATTGCGACTTCAAACACCCAGTACCTGAATTAAGACAGTGAACTAATAAGGTGGCTAAAGCCATAAAACTTCATACATCCAAATAGGATATTATACCCTGAACATAAACAGACTTCTACATAACAGATACTATTAATGAGGTTACACAACTGGTTGCAATCGGTAACATACACAAGTAATGCGACTAAAACCAGACAAATCTAAACATACGGCTCGGTATTCGGTCCATGTTTTGGACCAAGGAGGGTCAGGTTCAGCATTGACCTCTTAAGATGGTTATAGAACTGACCATAAGTGATAACATAATAAGGTGAATTAACAACTGTGTTTAGGTAGCTTACACACACACACACTCACACACACACACACATATATATATATATACAAGTATAAAGAAAAAATTATCGCTAAATAAAAAGACTATGTAGGGCTGGCTACTGAACTTAGAAAAAGGAACCAAACAAGATAGAGA